TTTGGATTTCCTTAAACAGAGTCTTTAGGTTGCTTAAAGGTTCAACAAAGTTCTTTATTATTGAAAACAAACAGGTACTTTAAGGCTTTCTTAATAGTCTATTGGCTCTCTCGATCTTGTCCACAGGGAACAGGCACTATCTTCATAAACTGTATTTCAACTAATGGGGAAATCCTTAACCTCTAATCTAGGCAGTCTGTCTTCGCCTCTGTTGGCGTGGAGCCCCTACACCCGGTACCAACTGCTTCTGGCTTCCACAAGTGACCCTTACCAAGCAGAGCTTTGTAGACTTCCAGGGGAAAAGGAGTTCAGGTTTCTGTGATGGCTGGCTGAAGTCCTTCAGCAAAGGAGCTGTAGGGCTGTATAACCCTGGCCAAGCTGTGAGCTGTATATCTCCCCGGGCAAGCCGTAGAAGACAAAGCTTTCTACAGGAGCTCTTGGTATTGTGTCCTGCATGAAAGGCTTCTCTGTGTAGACTGAACTCAAAATGGCTCCTATTCCCTGTAAAACCCAAAAAGGGGGGCGGGACCAGGGAACCTAACTATAATTGACAGGTGGCTTGCCCTATGATTGAAGCCAAAAGAAGCCACCTATCTGCAGAGTTCCTGAAACTTAGGACTATAACAAACATTAAATGCAAAGCAAACAAAATTGGAGCTCTTGGTGCAGTTGTACCTGCACATTTGCTACTTTCATTGCTACTTTCATTGCCTATATGTCTATAGGACATATTGTATAAGGTAGTTATTTGGGTTCCAGTCCTATATGTCCTATAGTATTTAAGTGCTTCAAGATAACATCCAAATCTTGCATTGTATAAGCTAGTTATTTGGGTTCCAGTCCTATATGTCCTATAGTATTTAAGTGCTTCAAGATAACATCCAAATCTTGCATTGTATAAGCTAGTTATTTGGATTCCAGTCCTATATGTCTATAGGACATATAGGACTGGAAYCCAAATAACTAGCTTATACAATGCAAGATTTGGATGTTATCTTGAAGCACTTAAATACTATTTTTATAGCACAGGTTTGGTGTGCAATGGTCTGCTTCAACAGAAGTAACTCATCTACAAAAAATGTAAGAGAGATCCATCTACACAGAAACTAAAATTCTGCTTGAAGTCAGCTCAAGTTTGGTGTGCTCAGAAAACAATCTCCAAAGCAGTGTTTAAAAAAAAAAAAACCTCACCAGAAATCCTGGATCAAGCTAGAAAATCTGCTGAATTCCTTCTGTGTATAAACAATGCAAAAGAAGAAGCCAGATGGCAAATGCAGGGATTCTCATGTAAACAGGAGTAAGAAAGCATTCAGAATAAAAAGCAGCTATAAAGCTAGCTGGAAAATAAATCCCCCCCCCCCCCCCCCCCCGGCAAGGAAAGCCCAGCGTTCCCATAGGAATGCCTGATTTTACTGCCCTGCCTTGCTGAGCTGTGAGGGAAGGGCTTCTGAGAAGCTGTTTGTCTCTTAGGGGAGGTAAAAAACATATTCCTGGATTTCAATTAAGCCAATCAATCTGGAGCAGAATGTGATGAAGAAATCCTGTGGATTTGTGTGGACTCACTTGCATATACCAGGCAGTTCCTGTGGTGCCTATGTCGGCACTCTGGAGTGAACTAGATTTCTATAATTCTCATTCTGCTCCTGATTAATTGCCTATGTAGAAGTACCCTATGTTTTTGCAAACTGTTATTAGGGGATCTGTCTTGTTCAGAATGGCCATGATAAAAATTAGTTTGAGGAAGGAACATATTTTGAGACACTGCGTATTGGCAGAGGTTTCTAGTGAAGGCCAATGGGTCCCATGTCAATAGGGCAATGAATCTGCTTCACATTTAAATCCAGATTTTGAAGGGCCTATCCTAGTTCACACCCTTAGGCATCTTGTATTGTTTTTTTAAAAGTTCAGGCTCAGCCCCAGGCAGGCATGTAGCCGGGGGGGGGGGGGCTGAGGGGCTTCAGCCCCCCCCCCCCCGAAATTCTCATGGTAGTTCGCGAAAAGGCCTTACTGGTGCATTATTTAAACTGTTATGTTTATTCATATCATGATCTGATCACCATACTCAATATATCCCATATGCATGGGGGTATTGGGGTAATGATACAAAAGGTTTGCTAGACCCTCTTTCACTCAGACTCAGCCCCCCCCCCGAAACTCAGCCCCCCCGAACCCCCCCTGAAAAAAATTCAGCCCCCCCCCCCCCCCCCGAAACGAAATCCTGGCTACGGGCCTGGCCCCAGGACAGATTTACCACCACCATTTCTCCCTGGATTTTGATATTAAGGATGCTGAAGAAAGAGGACTTGCATGTAATAAGCAAAAATATGTCCCCTCTCTATGCTGAAAAAAGCAGAACACATCAAATGTAACCTAGGTTTTTCTTTTCTTTTTCTCCCCTTGAATGAAGAGAAAGTTGCAAGGGATTATATTATACCTTGCATTTCTATTTCTATCACATGGTTGTCAAAAGCATAGGAACCCCACTAGTGGGACTCTCACACTAAAAGGGGCATTATGAAGTGTCAGTATATGGAAAACGCATAGGGGAACAGGAAGGTCCAGCCAGGAGGTGTGAATTAGGAATTCCTACCTACTGAATCACAGCTTTGGGGTAGTGCTTAACAGGTTACAGAATATTGTTGTGAATGCATTACTTATAGGGGTGACATGGGCATAATGTGATTTTTGTGAGGGACTATTGCAACCTTACTCCTATTTTTATCTCATTAGAGTTTTTTTAACATTTTATCCTGTACATGTGGCCTGCCCACTGTTACTGCAATTGTGTTTATTGTAATGTTATTTTGTTACTGTATGCATATGTGTTTTTTTAATGTAATTTTGATGATTTTGCTTGTTGTTTTTGGTTTTATTTTGCTGTAACATGTTGTCTGGGATTGGCCCCATGTAAGCTGCTCCGAATCCCCATTGGGGAGATGGTGGCGGGGCATAAACAAAGATTATTATTATTATTATTATTATTATTATTATTATTATATCAGAGATATTTTGAGTTTGAGATTTTGAAATGCCTGTATATGCATATATGTACATAATGAGATGGGACAAAAATCTAAAGATGAAACTAATTTATGTTTCAGAGGCACCTTATACATATAGCCTGGAGGTAACTTCATATAATATTTTGAATAATTTTGTGGATGACACCAAGTTTGGGCACACTGAAGCATCACAAAGCCAAAGCATCCTTATCTCAGACAGACACATGGACAATTTTAGATTTCAGAATTCAAGATAAGGTATGCTCAACTTGTACTTGTTTGGAGGAATTATATTGAAGAATTAGGACATTTTTCTATTTTTAAGTGTGTTGTTATGAAATGATGATGTTGGTGGTGATGCAATATGTTAATGACAGGCTGCTAATGCACAATTCTTCCAGTAATGAGTAATATATTGACTTTTAAAAATATGACTAATGTGTTACTTTTTAAAAGCTAGATAGAATTTATTCTATTCTCTTTTTACATTATGTCTTGCCTCTCTTTCATTGGTGTGGGCAGGTGCAAAATGACCTTAATTGTATCATGCTGTAGGGAGTCCTTGAGACAGGCTTTAACCCACATTCAGTTTTAGACCCATAGTCTCCAGAAATTTCCACGTTTCTCCCAATTTCTAGGAGAAGATAGATTTCAGGGTCAGCAGCACTGGTAGAAGATAATGTTTTATATTTCTGTGTAACGTGGTGTTACAGCTTAGGAACTCATCTCTAATGGGTCCTACCTGACTCCAGAGCTCACTGGCTTGATGTTGCTTATTTGTTCAGTCGTTTCCAACTCTTTGTGACCTCATGGACCAGCCCATGCTAGAACTTCCTGTCGGACATGGCCACCCCCAGCTCCTTCAAAGTCAAGCCAGTCACTCCAAGGATGCCATCCGTCTATCTTGCCCTTGGTCGCCCCCCTCTTCCTTTTTCCTTTCATTATCCCCAGCATCATTGTCTTCTCTAAGCTTTCCTATCTTCTCATTACTTCACCTTTGCCTCTACTTTTTTGTATGTGCGTGGTGTGGTGATTTTAGCATTGGATTATAACTCTGGAAACCAGAATCCAATTCCTGCCCAGCCATGAAACCTTCTGTGTGACCTTGGGCAAATCATACACTCTCAGCCCTGGAAAACCCAATGACGTATGGCCTTAGGGTCACTATAAATTAGAAACAGCTTGCTGACACACAACAACACAACTGTACTTATGCAATGTCAGTACACTGAAACATTCCCGGTCTACTTGGCATTTCCTCAAGAACTTGTTTTGTTTTGTCTTTACTTATTTGCCTTCATATTTTAAAATATTTTGTGCACATCTCCAGCTTTGAATATCTGTAATCCCACTGGTACCTCCCACCATGTTTTTCAGCAGCTCTGTTTTGGTCCCAGTCCTGTTGGTACTCACCATCTGTGTTCAACATTGGAGAAGATGCTGCTGCTGCTGACAGCTTAAGTGTATTCTGGTCTTCAACAGAACGGCCAGTCTCACTTAAGCACAAGAACCAAACAAGGGCTGAGCTCAAAATGTTGCAAGACAGCACAAAATAACTGTTACTTTGCAAGCTTCACAAACTTTACTGGGTCAAGAAGCCCACTGATAGCAGCTTACCTAAAGGTAAACCTTAGAAAAGTTACTTTGAGGACCAGCCAAAAATATTTTCTCAAAGGGAAGCAGAAAACCTAGCAGGGTTTTGACAGGTCACTGTTCTTCTGGTTATCAGACAGGATAACGTTTTACTGTTTTGGACAGATAAAGTAGTGATTAGTTTGGTTAACTAACACATAGCTTTGGATTAGTCCATTCAGATTTGAAAATGAAGGCGGCAGCAGGGAAGGATGGGAGGAAGGAAACCCAGAAAGGTGAGGCAATAGGGAGACCATAGAGAACAATTGCACAGGGCCCTGCTGTGCTTGGGAGGAAGAGTGTGTTGTGTGTGCGCATATAGATCTATGCTCCGCAATAGGAAATGCTTTATTAGCTGGGAGTGGTGGAGAAAAGCCAGGCAGGAAGAGGCAGTAATAAGAAACATTTTTAACTTCTCCCACATCCAGAGCTTGCCAAACCGCTGCTTTCAGCAAGAGGGAAAGAGCAGGGGGGCTGGAAAGAGGATCCTGTCTCCCCCCACAACCCAGCCTTACACACTCCCAGCTGCCTTCAACTCTGTGGCTTCCTTGAAACGGACTTCACTGGAGCTCAGCTTCAGCCCCAATCTGGGGGCACTGTTCTTACTGAAGTGAAAATCCAGGAGGACTGGAACCGTCGTTGGAAAGGAAACCCATGAATCCATCTCAGGCCATGCATCTGAAACCCATGAAGAGATGCCCAGTGTGACTTCAGTCAACAACTTTCCCAGAAAATAAAAACCCATCTCGGACTCTGGTACCAAAGAAAATGCTTTCATCTGAGGAATCCTCAGCCAAGGCCTGCTGAAAGGAGATAGACGGCAGGATACGGTTTAAAGCCCAAGTTTGCTCCGTTCTGTATACAAAGACTCCTGGGTAAGTTAGAATTAATGTGTGTGTCTCTTGATTCGTTCCATATTTATTTGAAGACATTCAAGAGAACATCTCTCGGGCAAAAGCGGGGGATAAATGTGACATTTTTAATATCAAAATTTTAGGCCTCAGGCTTTTTATAGCATGGAGAAACTATTTAAATCCTGTATATCCATTACTCCTGGGCAAAATAATTACAATAGCAATGATGAAAGAGAAAGGAAGTACATTAGAGTCTCGATTATCCAACCTTTGCTCATCCAAAGTTCTACATTATCCAACACAGCCTGCCTCCCTCCCGGATCCACAGACATTGCGATGTTTTGCTGCTAAATTCGTAAATACAGTAATTACTACATAACATTACCATATATAGAACTGCTTTTTCTGTCGAACTGTTGTAAAACATGATGTTTTGGTGTTTAATTTGTAAAATCATAACATAATTTGGTGTGTAATAGGCTTTTCTTAAATCCCTCCTTATTATCTAACATTTTCACTTAACCAAAGTTCTGCCGGCCCATTTATGTTGGATAAGCAAGATTCTATTGTAGCAAAGAATAATGCAGTTATTAATTTTGTTTTTATGCCATGCATTTTCAGCACTGCAAGAACTATTCCATGATATCATCAGGGATTTGCATTACACAATACACAATATTACATATAATGTCTTCTTTCACAAATCTGTTGTGGACATGGCCCACTAGGGCCCCTTCCACATGGCTGACAAAAATCCCACATTATCTGCTTTGAACTGGAATATTATTTATTTACAGTATTTATATACCGCTTTTCTCACCCCCGGGGGGAATCAAAGTGGTTTACACAAAAATAACGGCAAAATTCAATGCCTTATATATATAAACCAAAACTCAATCAACAACATATAACTAGCATAAAATCAATATATGGCAGTATGGACTCAGATAATCCAGTTCAAAGAAGATATCGTGGGATTTTATGACTGTAAGCCGTCTTGAGTTCCCCTTCGGTGGTTGAGAAGGACAGGATACAAATGTTCTAAATAAATAAATAAATAAATAAATAAATAAATAAATAAATAATGCTGCCTTATTTCTCTGGGTTATATGGCTGTGTGGAAGGGCCCTAAGTTTGCATGTGGCTCTGCAAGGCTCTTTCTGTGACAATGGGCTTCAGACAGCAGTTTTTCTCACAAAATTAAAAGGGGTGTTGATGTGTGTCTTCTAACGCCTTCATAGATTTTGGTAACATTGCATTTTAAAATATACATTTTTAAAATACTAGTTTTTCAAAATAAGTGATAGACTTCTCACTACACCTGGTTTGGGTTTTATTCTTTGCATGTATGGCCCACAGACACACTCAAGAGCAGAAAAATGACCTTCAGTCTGCCTAAGTTTCCCTCCTCTGACCTAAAGAAAAGTCCTGCCCTTCAATATCCAGCAGGTCTGTGCAAGAGCTAGCAGGCTTCTGCTAGATTTTAAGGGAGCACTTATCAAGAGATAAAGGCCAGAATCTTCTTGGTGACATACATTGCTATAACATTATTATTATTATTATTATTATTATTATTATTATTATTATTATTATTATTTCTAAATCGCCCTCTCTCCCCAGAGGGACTCAGGGAGGTTTACATATATACATATATAAAGGCAAACATTCAGTGCCATAATGAAATCACACAATATCAAAAGATGAAAAATAAACATTATCAGACTTATTGCAACAAGAGAATTCAGATTAAAACAAGAGATACAAATACTGAGGGAAACATAATTATATCAATAAAACATAATTGCATTAAGCATATACCCTAAACAGTTAAAACGACCAAACTGAAAAATGTGCCAAGCATCAGTTGTACTTCAAAGTAGACTGTAGCAGCCATAAAGTGCTGGTTGTGATAGTCCTTCTCCTCTCTGTAGAGAGGAAGGTGGAGGCCATTTTTATTTCTTTAGGGAGGGAGTTCCAGGGATGGGGAGCGATCACAGAAAAGGCCCCCTCTCTTGTTTCCACCAACAGCGCTTATGACGGGATGGGACCGAGAGCAGGGCCTCCTCCACTGACCGAAGTGTATGAAGGGTCTATATTTGGGAGATGCAGTTAGACAAATAGCCTGGACCCAAACTGTTTAGGGCATTATCAGCACTTTGTATTTAGCTCAGAAGCAGACCAGCAGCCAGTGGAGATGCCATAACATGGGATTGATTATCTCCCTGTACAGAGCCCCAGTTAGTAACCTGGCTGCTGATCTCTGGACCAGTTGAAGCTTCTGAACTATCTTCAAAGACAGCCCCACATAGAGAGCATTGCAGTAGTCCAGGCAGTATGTGACTAAGGCATGGACTACCATGATCAACCTGGATTTATGCCAATGTATATTATTTTGGGGAGTCAATGTAGTATAGTGGTTTGAGCATTGGACTATGACTCTGGAGACCAGGCTTTGAGTCCGGACTTAACAACTGGAAATCCATTGGATGGCCTTGGGCAAGTCACACACTCTCAACTTCAAAGGAAGACAATGGCAAACCTGAGATAAAATCAGGTTTGGAGTCTTTTCATGCAAGCTCAAGTAAGATCATTCAGATTAATAGATGGGAGGAGCAGATCCTTTTCAGTCGTGGTCCCCTGATTGCAGAAGTCTCAAATGAAATGTGTGTGGTTTTTCCCCTTGAAATCTTTGAAAAGGCTTTGAGATTCCATCTGTTTCTGTTACCTTGTAACTACTTAAAATTTTAATGTATTTTTATATCTTATGTTATATTTTATGGTTTAAGCATCCCTGTACGGGCTATCCCTTAAATTGAAGATCTACACACCATAACCTGTAAAATAAACATAGAATAAAATGGCAAAATAAATAATATTTCAAGAGTGGAAAAGCAAGACAAATGGCATGTGAAATTTTAAAAATGGGTGTACTACTCACCTAAAAATGCAAAATTAGTGTTATAAGGCAGGAGAAATGCAGGATTGCACCAGAAATCAACCTCAATCATCCAGCCTTTAGGGGAAAGGGAAATAAATTTCACTGCTTAATAATTTTATTTAAAATGTTTTTTGCACTGGTGTTGGCCATTGATTTTAAAACTATTATAATATATTGAGATCAAAGTAATTGGTTGTTTAAAATTAATAAAATGATATTTTGTTTGTGTGCAGGTAGGTGCCTTCAAAGTATCTATTGACTTATGGCAACCCCATGCATTTCATAGGCTTTTCTTAAGCAAGGCATATGCAGAAGTGCATAGTTTGTCAGGTCCTACCAGTGAAATATAGTCTACACCTCCTGGTACTCATTGGTTGTCTCCCCACCAACTACTCACCAGGTTTGATTCTGCTTGGTTTCCAAAATCAAACAGGGTCTAGAGCCTCAGGATATTAAGTAAACAGCTGGGCATAAATAAGAAAAGGGTGAGTGGCTGCAGATCAACCTAGGGATCTGGGGAAAAGACACACATGAAAACATTAACTCTTCCTCAGGTCTCACTTAGACCCCTTCTAAATTGTCAGATAATCCAGGAAATCACAGCAGAAAATCCACATTATCTGATTTGAACTAGTTTATCTTAGTCTACACTGCCATATCATCTAGTTCAAAGCAGATAATATGGCATGTGTACAGCTGTGTATACATTCCCTATTAAGCCCTTTCTACATAGCTGTATAAAAACCACATTGAATTGGATTATATGGCAGTGTGGACTCAGATAATCCAGTTCAAAATGGATTTTCTGTCTTAATATTCTGGGTTATATGGCAATGTGGAAGGACCCTTAATGGCCCCAGTGCCAGATTTACCATTGTGCTTAGGTGTGCTTAAGCACAGGGCCCGTTGGCCAGGAGGGGCCATCTTCCTGCTAAAAATATTTTTTGTGCTGGATTTTGCTTAGGTGATGCAGTTCTAAATTTGAAGGCATTATATTTTAGGTAGTTCCAGACATCATGATAGAGTTGATAGACTATGGGAGAGTGCCACAAAGCAGGCAGTTTAGGTCTACTGAGCCTACCTCTTTCAGGGCCCAAGTAAGGGGCCTCATAGCTTAACTAGTACAGGGCTTCATTTATCCTAAATCTGGCACTGGTGGCCTCCCACACAAGTACTAACCAGGGCTGACCCTACTTAGCCCCCATTGTCACAAAAATGATGTGTCACAGGTAGCATCATTGCTTGCAACAAATTACATTTCCTGAAATACTGTTGCTTCTAGAGCAGGCATGGGAAAACTTTGGCCCTCCAGGTGTTTTGGACCTCAGCCCCTACAATTCCTAACAGCCAGTAAGCTTGCTGGTATTTCTGTAAGTTGAAGTCCAAAACACCTGGAGAGTTGAAGTTTCCCCATGCTTGTTCTAGAGTGCTATGCCAGGCTCTAGTGATTTCATTGTCTTTTTTACATGATCCAGATTGCTTAACTGTTCTACAATGCAACCTTTCCTCAACTAGGGAGTGTAAAATGTGAAGTGAGGTATTCACTCATTTTTGTGAGATGTTTACAAAGGGCCCTTCCTCACAGCCATATAACCCAAAATATCAAGACAGATAATCCACAGTATCTGATTTGAACTGGATTATATGAGTCCACACTGCCACATAATCCAGTTCAGTGTGGATTTTATACAGCTGTGTGGAAGGGACCAAAGTCTGTTGAAATCACAAAGGCGTGAGATCTCGGAGCCCTCTTCAGCTGCGCACTCAGCACCCAATTAGGCATGTTGCTGCTACCAGATTTAAATATCACACTGGTCACAGAATGAAAGATTGCCACTGTGGGAAATTCTCTAGTGACATAACTTGAAACAAGACTGAAAACTGTTCTTGAAGTTACATACATTGGAAAATTAAAATAAAAAGGAACCAAGTCATGAGTATTATCTTGGCATTAAAAAGCAGAACTAGCCTCTCCCTTTGAGGTTTGGAGACTTTTAGCCACAGAATTATACTTGGCACTTACAGAGGACTTGTTTAAGGTCTCAGGGGTGTTTCTGAAAGGCAATCTTTGCAATGAGTTAGA